GATTAAGCTTAGTGAGGAAAGCAGATCCAAGCCAAGATAGGCCGAAAGCCAGCCTCTTGAACCAAACTCTTAGCCAGACTGTGAATGCAAAGGAAAAGTTCTTGAAGGAAATTAAAAGTGTCACTCCAGTGAACACATGAATGGTAAGAAACAACTGTATTGCCAATATGAAGAAAGTTTTAGTGGCTTGGACAGAAGATCAAACTAGTCACAGTGACAGTTCCTTAAAAGCCAAAGCCTAATCCAGAGCAAGGCCCTAACTCTTCAATTCTATGAAAACTGAGAGGTGAGGAAGCTGCAGGGGAAAAGTTGGAAGTTGGTAAAAGCTGGCTCACGAGGTTTAGGGAAAGAAGCCATCTTCACAACACAAAAATGCAAGGGGAAGCCGCAAGTGCTGATGGAGAGGCTGCGGCGAGTTCTCCAGAAGATCTAGCTAAGATCGTTAATAAAGATGGCTACACCAGACAACGGATACTCAGTGAAGACAAAATAGCCTTGCATTGAAAGAAGATACTATCTAGGACTTCTACAGCTAAAAAGAAGTCCATGCCTAGCTTCAAAGCATCAGAGGACAAGCCCACTCTCATTAAGGTCTAACATGGCTGGTGGCTTTCAGTTGAAGCCAATGTTAATTTACCTTTTGAAAACCCTAGGGCTTTTAAGAATGATGCTAAATCTACTCTGCCTGTGCTCTAGAAATGGAAAAACAAAGCCTGAATGACAGTACATCTGTTTATAACATGGCTTACTGAATATTTTAAGCCCAATGCTGAGACTTACTCCTCAAAAAAAAAAAAGATTCCTTTCAAAATATTACTGCTCACTGATAATGCACCTAAGTCACACAAGAGTGCTGACTGAGATGTACAATGAGATTCAAGCTGTTTTCATGTCTGCTGATACAACCACAGTGCAGCCCATGGATCAAGGGGAATTTTGACTTTAAAGTCTTATTATTTAAAAATACATTTCATAAGGCTATAGCTGCCATAGCCTTCCTTTGCCATTCTTCTGATGGATCTGGGCAAAGTAAATTGAAAACCTTCTGGAAAGAATTCACCATTCTAGATGTCATTAAGAACATCTGTGATTTGGTCATGCGGTGGCTCACACCTGTAATCCCAGCACGTTGGGAGGGGGAAGCAGGCGGATCACCTTTGGTCAGGAGTTTGAGACCAGCCTGGCCAACATGGTAAACCCTGTCTCTACTAAAAATACAAAAAAATTAGCCAGGCGTGGTGGTGGGCACCTGTCTTCTCAACTACTCAGGAGGCTGAGGCAGGAGAATTGCTTGAACCTAGGAGGTGGGGGTTGTGGTGAGCTGCGATTGTGCCACTGTACTCCAGACTGGGCGACAAAGCCGGACTCCATCTCAAAAAAAAAAAAAAAAAAAAAAAAAAAAAAAAAAAAAAAAAAAAAAAAAAAAAAAAAAAAAAAAAAAAAAAAAGAACATCTGTGATTCACGAGGAGGGCAGAATATTAACATCAGTAGGAGTTTGGAAGAAGCTGATTCCACCCCTCATGGATGACTTGGAGGGGTTCAAGACTAGAGTTAGAAGCAGAGCCTGAAGATGACTGAACTTCTTCAGTCTCATGATCACACTCAAATGGATGAGGAGTTGCTTCTATGGATAAGCAAAGGAAGTGGTTTCTTGAGGTGGAATCTACTCATGGTAAAGATGCTGTGAATATTGTTGACATGATACATTTGAAATACTTCAAAAGCTTAATTGATAAAGCAGTTGCAAGGTTTGAGAGAATTGATTACAATTTTGAAAGGTCTATTGTGAGTAAAATGCTATTAAACAGCATCACATGCTACATACAGAGAAATCTTTCGTGAAAGAGTCAATTGATGCAGCAAACTCTATTGCTGTCTTACTATAAGAAACTGCTACAGCCAGCCCAAGCTTCAGCAACCACCACCCTGATCAGTTAGCAGCCATCGACATCAAGGCAACATCGAGGCTCCAATCAGCAAAAAGATGAAGGTTCACTGAAGGTTCAGATGATCGTTAGCTTTTTTTTTCAGCAATAAAGTAATTTTTAATTAAGAAAGGTACTTTTTTTAGATATAATGTTATTGCACACTTAAAAGAACAAAGTATAATATAAACATAACTTAAAAAAAATTTTTTTTTGAGACAGGGTCTTGCTCTGTCACCCAGGCTCTGCAGTGGCATGATCATACCTCACTGCAGCCTTGAATTCCTGGGCTCAAGTCATCCTCCTGCCTCAGCCTTCCAAGTAGTGAGGTCTACAGGTGCATGCCGCCATGGTTGGCTAGTTAAATTTTTTTTTTTTTTTGGTAAATACAGGGTCTCACTATGTTACCCAGGCTGGTCTCAAACTCCTAGCCTCAAGCAATCTTCCTGTCTTGGCCTCCCAAAGTGCTGGGATTATAGGTGGGAGCCACCATGCCCTGCTAAAGAGAACTGTTACAAGCAACCAAAATTTTGTTTGACTTGCTTTACAGTAATATTTGTTTTACTGTGGGTGGTCTGGAATAGAACCCACAATATCTCTGAGGTATGCCTGTACTTCTCAACAGTGGGGTAAAAGGCTTAATGCTTTTGCTTAGTGAGACATCCTATGAAAACGCACATACTAACCCATTCAACCCTTCGCATTTTTTAAAAAGGAAAAGATACAGGTTGCTTACATTTGCTACACAAATCTCAACCATAAGATTCCTGGTGCTATTGCCAGAGAATTTGTTAGCTACAAATTCAAAGCAAGTTACCATTTTTTGAGCCTCTGGTTGACTGATTAACCACAGGTTCTAGAACTCTGTTTGCTGCTGCACAACTTTTGGCATTAGTGCCCAGAGGCGGTGGCTCCCACGTGTTATCCCAGTGCTTTGGGAGGACTGTACAAGGCCAGGAGTTTGAATCCAACCTGGGCAACACGGGGAGATCCTATCTCTACAAAAATAAAAATTAGTGGCCGGGCATGGCGGCTTATGTCTACAATCCCAGTACTTTGGGATGCTGAGCCAGGAGGATCACTGGAGGCCAGGAATTTAAGACCAGCCTGAGCAACAAAGTGAGACCTCATCTCTACTCAAAAAAAAAGATAAAAATAAAACTATAAAACAGAATAAAAATTAAAAAGCAACTGGAAGGAAATGGAATTGGCTTGATGGGAAACATCTGCCCTTTGCTTTCTGTCCCACAAGAAAAGATGATCTAATAATTAAACTCAGGTTTCAAAAGTGTCACATGAGACATTTTCAGAATCCCACTTCACTTCAGGTTTTGCTTCCCTATCTCAAGAATGGAAGGCCACAGACAAGGCTGGGTCTTGTTGGAAGTCCTTGTACCAATGGCTGAGGGAAATGAACGTGCTCATGACTGAGGACCATTTCCTCTAAGGCGCTACCAAACCCGAGGACACCAGAAAGAAGGCCACATGACTGCTATGCTATGGCACAACTGCTAACAAGACCGGCATTATTTCTCCAGCCTGCCACACAGTCTGTCCCTCATCCGTTACTGACCTGTGTCGGCCATTCATCTCCAGGCCCACAACGGGGCAGATGAAACGTGCCCGCTGGAGGTCATCATGCTTGTCACCTTTAGTGTTTCCTTTATCCCCTTCCCAGGCGGGATTATCAGAAAGCTTCAGCTCTGTCACATTCTGAAAAAAAAAAACAAAAAACAAAAAACAAAAAACCATTAATATTTTAACAATTCATTTGATAAATAGATCATCTTTTGCCTTAATAACCACCTCAGTCAACAAATTATTATTCCAGCCCTTCCCATCAAAATCTCTTCCTCATAGTTACTTTCCTCCGGTCCATAAGAAACATGGATATAATATTAAATCATAAATAGAAAACAGAAAACAAGGCCACGCATGGTTGTTCATGCCTGTAATCCCAGGACTTTGGAAGGCTGAGGCGGGCAGATCACCTGAGGTTGAGAGTTTGAAACCAGCCTGACTAACATGGAGAAGCCCTGTCTCTACTAAAAATACAAAATTAGCTGGGCACATTAGTGGTGGCACATGCCTGTAATCTCAGCTACTCGGGAGGCTGAGGCAGGAGAATCGCTTGAACCCAGGAGGCAGAGGTGCAGTGAACC